AATCTGTCCTACAAAGGCAGGATAAAGGCTGGATTCTTTTCCTTTACTTTTCAGAGTAATCAGTTGATGTTCTAGCAACTTGTAAAGGAAACCAATTCAATTTTGTAGGGTTTTGTGTTTGAGTGCATCACCCTTCTGTCAGATTGTCATACTGTGATGTTAGGATGCTGAAGCTGTATCATTGGTATTTCAAATAACAGCAGGATTACCCATGATGTACAGATTTCAAGGGAACTTCCAAACTAAGGCAGGAAGAGAGGCCTGGCGATCTACTTTTAAAACTTAGCAAGTGAAAACCCTGTGGATTACAACAGAATATTGTCCTATATAGTGCTAGTCCTATATAGCCCCCTAGGTTGAAAGATACTCAAGATACCCAGTGGCCGCAACAACGGACTTCAGCATACTAAAAATAGTGACGATGGCACAAGATTAGATTGTTTCACCCTGTTATATACAGGGTCACTGTGAGCTGAAATCAATTTGATGACAACCAACAATAACAACAATCTGTTTGGAGTACAATGATGGACTCACAAATTATTTTTCATTTGGTTACAATCCACTGCAGTCTACTACTCTGGTGATGTAAGGGTTAAGGCATTTGGTTGCTAACCAAAAGCTGTTGGTTTGAACCCACCAGCTGATCTGTGAAAGAAAGATAGGGCAGTCTGATTCCATAAAGATTTATAGCCTTGGAAACCAAACAGGGGTCACTATGAGTCGGAATTAATCTCATGGCAGTGAGTTTGGGTTGTTTTTTGAGCCCCTTCGGGTTGCCTCCTGTGTCTGTCTGGTGTCACTCGGTGGTCTTTGTTAGCTTCCTTGCTTTCTGGCATGACATGATGTTCCATTTCGAACATTTCCTGCCTCAGATCTGGAATCAACTATTTATTTTACGAGGTGGTTCACTTTCATGGGAAAAGGTATTTTAAGGGGAGTCCCAATCTGAGTGCTGACAATCTCATTGCTACTGGATTGTCTTTACTTTTAGGTTTTTCTAAGTACAGAGCTAGGAAACACTTTCTTTTTGAAAAGGAAAAAAATGAGTTCATACAGGTACTTTCTAATCAAACTTCAAACTATACAATCTATGCTTAAATTCAATTTTATACTTCTACTCATTCCTTTTCCATACTGAAAATCGTGGTTCTTACAATATGCCATTAATAGTTTAAAATAATTACATGAGAATTTAAAATAAAATATTGTTTTTTAAAGTCATTTTAAGTAATCAGTTTCTCTGTGTAAGGGGTTAACACAAGGCTGGTAGATAGTTAGGTTTGTTTGTTTTATTTATTTCATCTGTTTTTAATATTTCATGAATGCTTTTTTATTCATTTTAACTTAATTTTCTTTTTCAATTATGTAAAAGATCTACATGGTTCCAAAGTCAAAACAAGGAACATTTAGAGACATCTGCCTTCTTTACCTGCCCCTGCACATCCCTCCTCCAATGGAAATCATCTGTATCAGCTTGTTATTTATCCTTTCATTATTTCTTTTGAAAATATAAGCAAATTGATATACACCTACCACTCTTCCATACCTTCTTTCATATACAGGGGATTAACTCTACATACTGGCCTACAACATGACTTGTATCCATATGTCCTACACAACAACCTATCTACCGGGGATACCTTCCTCCTCCCTTTCTCTACTGACAGTCACTGCTGTCAATGAACTATATTATCCAGAGTCCTCTCTTATGAACACTTAGGTTATTCCTACTCACTTAAAAACTCACTGCCATCGAGTCGAATCTGACTCATAGCGATCCCTCCTTGGGTTTCCAAGGAAGTATCTCTATGAAAGTAGATTGCCCAATCTTCTTTCCGAGGAGTGGCTGGTGGATTTGAACTGCCAGCCTTCTGGTTAGCAGTCAAATGCCTTAGGCACTATGCCACCAAATCTCCCAGGTTATTGCTAGTATTTTCCTATTAAAATAGAATCACAAGAAATGGCCTTATGTACATGTCATTTCTTATTTTTGCTTGTGTATCTTTGGGAAAGATTTGTAGATAAAACTCTGCTTATTTAAAGAAAAAAAAAATGCATAGTTCCTTGCTAAAGGGGAAGGGAGGCAGCATCTTCTGATCTTCTCCAACTACATAAGAGGAAGACAGAATCACCATCATAAGCCCTGTTCTTACGAGGCCAGACATCCCATACCCTCCAACTTCTTACTAACCTTGACACCAGCCGTTCCTCCTGTGGTACCCACCTCCTCTCTGATGGGCTCGATAATTCACTGCAGTAGCCACACAAAACTCACAAATTACAGGGTTTATTAGGGAAGCAACAGGCTATAATTTAAGTTCAAGAATGTACTCAGTCTCTCTCAGCTGGCCATCTCACTCAGCAGCCAGGCGTCTCACTCAGGGGCCGGCCATCTCTCTCAGTAGCACGTCTCCCTCTCAGCAGTGTGTGTCTCTCATCCAGTGGTCTGAAAGACTTCTTCTGCCCCTAGAAGGGCTCATTTTGAGCCTGGCAGAGTGGAAAACTAACAAATCCCAACATCATAATTCTGTATACCTCAAACAGAGCAAACTTCCCAGAAGATTGCTTCATGCTGCTCCAACAGCAATACTCCAGGTGGGTAAGTTTAACAATCAGAAACTCAGTTGCTCATGGCAAAGTGGGAGTTACCAGGACTATGGCTAGAAAAGGCATACCATGTAATTTTCTACACCGCAGTCGATTCGCTAGGTCTAAGCAACTACTCTCCCATAGGGGTGATACCATATGGCATTCCCACCACCAGACTAGAAGGCCTATTTCACTTATTATCCACAACAGAAAAATTATGTTGCCATACTTTCAGACTTTTGTCAATTCATCAATGTGGGACACGACATTTTAGTTCACGACCACCACTGGGTTTCCAAGGCTATTGTTGTTATGTGCCGTTGAGTCAGACCCTATTCATAGCAACCCCTCCTTGGGTTTCCGAGGCAGTATCGCTATGGAAGTAGATTGCCCAACCCGATTTCCGTATCGATACTGCCTTGGAAACCCAAGGAGGGGTTGCTATGAATTGGGTCTGACTCAATGGCACATAAAAACAACAACAGCAAATTTTTACGGAAGTAGATTGGCTTATCTTCCTCTAGTAGAGCAGCTGGTTGGTTTGCACTGCAACTTTCTGGTTAGCAGCAGCAAATGCCTTACCCACTACACCACCAGGGCTCCTTTTTTGCCATACGGTTTCTTTTCTTTCTTTCTTTCTTTTTTTAAATGTTAACTATATCATTCCCCCCCCTCCCCCGATTCTTGCTAAATTCTATGTCACAGTTAGGAAACTTATCCCAAACTCAGGATAAAAAGGGAATTAATCCATGTTTTTGTATTCAGTTACATTTTAAGCAGTGAAATTGTTTTAACTCAATCAACCAACACTGCTGAAATCTTCCATACGTGAAGGGTGCAATGATTTTTTAAGACTCAGAACTTCAACATTCTAAAAGAGAATTTTATACTCCCTAGAAAAGCCTCTCAGGGAAACCCCATCTCATGTTGGGCACATGCACATCATGACATTCAGGCAGTTTTGGCCATTATGGACAGAGCTAACATTTGCTACTTGACATATACACAGGTCACTTCTTAGGTTCTTTTGTCCCACTTCACCTCAGTCCCTTAAGGTTATTCAACAAAGTCAAGATGCTGGCTAACTTCTGACCATGCCTCGCCATGCTGTCACCTACTAAGCCCAATATTAGGCTGTCCCCAAAACTGTATCCCAGGAACAAGCTGGAATAACAAGATGGTATAGCTCCAGCACAATAATTACGATGTTTACAGTGCCCACAGTGTGCCCTCACAAATCTCTCTAAGCTAAAATGAACATGTAGAAACCAAATTTTAATTTTTAAAATTGCTCTTCCATTTTCCCTAATCCTTTTAATTCTTCCTTCTCATACCTAAAACCCATGCTATTACCCAAATGTGTAATAGCAAGCTCATTGGATTATTCCAATGTGCTTGCTATTACACATTTCCAGAGCCTGGGGACAAAGTCTTCTTCAAGTGGCTGCATACAAGGAGGAAGGGCAACCACATAGAAATGATTCACATCTTATAAATTAATTCCCTGTTGGAAACCAATGGCTGAAATTTATTGCATTAAATGGAAATTCTTCACTCTGAGCATCTAAGTCAGCTTTTCAACTCATATACTTTCATTTCCAGAAGAAGAAGTCATATCATCACTAAGGGGCTGCTGACTTAAAGGATAAATCTATATTTGATGCAAACACTATCAACTTTGGTTATCTGGCTTTACAGCCCTCAATTAATTAGAAAGGAAATGAAGTTAGAGGCAGATAAAATGATAGCAGCAGTAAGAAATGGTGAATGTAGACAAGAAACTATAGAAACAGAAAAAAATTATAAGACCATAGTAGTTGAGGTCAGTTCATCATCTTTTAGTGTGCTCTATCACCACATCATCTCATATAATAATACTATTGATAACAATGACTCCAAGCCTGCAAGGGAAGGTGACGTCTCATTCCAGGTTGTTAAGAAATCAGTAAAGCATAAAGCAGAGTTTAAAACAGCTCCATTTAAAAATAAATAAATAAATAAAGGTTTGAAGCTTAAAATAATTAAGGCTGAATTATTTAGACAATGTATCCACATGGAAGACCTCATTAATAACAGAAATGGAAGCTAACCAGCATCTGTGGTGTGGAGTGTGTTTAGACCCTACTAATCTAACAGCAATCCAAAGTTCTTTCCCAATAGGTTTCTACAGATACTTAAATTAAACATTTTTCTTCAGAACATCTCCAAGGCTTTTCAAAAAATGCTCACATGATCTTTCCAGTCCACTATAAGCAATTCAGTTCAATCCAAAGAAAAGGTTCAATGGAGCACACTTCAACAGCTAAGGGCCCTGAGAAACACAGACCAAGCAGATGTCTGTCTAACTTACTTTTCTTATTCATCGTGGGTGGCATTCTAGAAAGCAAAGGTGAAATATGAATACTCACGAAACATGGTATAAAACTGCTGAGGATTCAAATTCCATTTTCCCCAGGGGGTCTTGTGGCCTTTAGATTGGGCATAATTAGCATGATTAAATTCTGGTTCAGTGCCAAATGAGTCTAGGACTCGAAGCATGCACCTGAGGGGGGAAGAAAAAAAGTGATGAGTTTAAACTATAACCTTGACCCCAAAGTTCAGAAGGTCAAAGCTCCAATCCCTTTTCAGAAATTACCAAGAATAGACAAATAGTTTTAGGTGGAAATACTATTAGGTAGAAATTGAGAAGTTTTAAAATAGCTTGTATATCAAAACACCTACATGTGTGACTTTAGCACTTCGACCATCACATAACAGCTACCATTTCCTTCAGATGAGTTGATTAAAGTATAGATGTTTTCTCAAGTACCAACTAAAAACAAAAAAGTCCCATTAAAGCTGGAACTGCAGATCTCCATGTTTAATGCTGTACAGTTGGCACCTAGGCAGGACTGAGCATGAAAAACCTAGTTGCCATTGACTCGTTTCTGAGTCATGGAGACTACACTCCATAGGTTTTCAATGGATGAATTCTTGGAAGTAGATTCCTGGGTCCTTCTCCCAATGTGCCTTTGCATGACTCAAACTGCCAGCCTTTCAGTTACCAGCCAAACACTAACTGACTGCAGGTGCTTAACGAACATCTGCTGAAGAAACAAAGAACTATCATTTTCAGAGGTCTTGTTCTGCTTAATGCATATGGCATGCTTATTTCTCTTAGCAATAACTGAACATTTTTATCAGAGTATCTGATTTACTCTAACCAGTAAAGCTTAGACTCTTGTTCAATAGGCAGTGGCAATACCCAAGTTTTTGAGAGTAACAGACATTTATTCCTTTCATCTGAGCCTGAAGAAATGAAATGGAAGATGTTGCATTAGGTTGTTCTACCAAAGCTGTAGAACAAAGGTAGGCCAAATCTGGCCCACCGATTTGTGAGCTAAAAATGTTTTTTACATTTTCAAGTGGCTTTAAAAAAAAAGACTTTTGTGCATATGGGCATTATATGAAATTCAAACCTCAGGATCCGTAATAAAGTCCTTTTTGAGCATAGCCATGCCCAGTCATTACATGTTATTTATGGCTGCTTTTGTCCTGTAACAGCAGAGTTGGGTAGCCATGAGAGAGACCATATAGCCAAACCAGAAGGTCAGTGACTCAAACCCACAAGGTGCTCCACAGGAGGAAGATGAAACAACCTACTTCTGTAAAGATTTACAGCCTTGGAAACCCAATAGGGGTCGCTATGAGTTGGAATCAACTCGATGGCAGTGGGTTTAAGACTAAAATATTTACTTCTTGTTCTTTACAAAAGTTTGGAACCCCTTGCTTTAGAGTACACAAAGAATGGCAAATCAGAACAAAGGAATCAATACTTAAACAAAACTTACTGATTTTTATTACATTTATTTCATCACTAATCCTGAAAACATTGAAGTAAACTTAGCTTGGAACTGGCTTGTATATACCAATAATAATTCTGAATAATTGGACCAATAAGCACAAAAGTAAATAAAGTACAAAAATATATAAAGTACAAAAAAGTAAATAAAATTCAAAACAGTAAATACAGATTAAAGCTTTTATTTTAGAATCAGATGATGGCAATGATTTTTAAGTATCTGATTCTGTTTATTTCATCCTTTTCCACTATTAGGATGCTTTTCTTTCAGTATTTTATTTTTACTTCAATGTGTTAGTCAGGAAAAAAAATAATCCAAACACTAGATTAAATTCTCCAGGAAGAGCGATAGTAAAATTGCCATTTCAGTACTGCTATTTTCTCATTAGAGATCACCACCATCTGGCTAGATAAGAAAGAGAAGAAAAGAAAGATGGAGGAAAGGAGGGTGTGCCATGACCATACAGTGAAACAGAAGCTGACCACAGCATGTTTCCTGGCTTTGGGTTTCTGTCTGGCTCTCACTGAACAAGCTCTCATCCCAGTGGCAATGTTCACAGTATCAATAAGAACATGTCATCATCATGGATGCCAATAGGTGGACAAAAATGAGAGCCCAAAGTCCAGGAAAAAAGAAAGCTAGGGACCTAAAAGAACTGATCAACACTTGTTTTCTCTGCTCATAACATTCTTTTCTTCTTGATTAACCCTCTCGTTTCCTTTTTTTTTTTTTCTTTTAAAATAAGATTTAAAGGAACAAGCTAGAATCAGTATGTATCTTCGAAGAAACATAGCAGTGTTCAGAAAGCTGTGGGGACAACAGTGGCAGCCCTACAGAAGGTTGCAATGAGAAGGAGGAGGAGGAAAAGGAAGGAACACACATTGTCACAGGCAAAAGTCGACTCTGATAGGTGGGGCTGTGGAATGTCAGCTCCCCATCCTGGCTGGAACAGGCCTGTACCACTCCATAAGCCCTACAGTTCAGTGCTCCCTGTGGGCACAGCAGGAATTAACAGGCCAACTTGTTGTAAGGAATCTTTGCCTTAAAAGCTTCAGCTCCTTCTAGTCATTTGCCATTAAATCCTTTTCAGGGTCTGTGTTGTTCTCTGGCTTTGGCTTGTGATTATATTTTTAACAGGGAGTTTTATTCTGCTATTTTTATTTTGAATAATTAAAACAAATCAAGACAAGTAAAGATACCTGGTAGGAGATTAATTCTTGAAAGCCTGTGGTTTTTGTGCCGTGGCTAGATATGAGTGATGTGATGTTAGGCTTCTTCATGATGGAAGACTAAGGAATGACTGGATACTTTAAGACATGACTCTAAGTCCTTATCCTTGAGATTTTGGGTTGGAAATTGTCTGTTTTCTATCTTATCCGGGTTTGTTTTATTAAGCAGGGGCAAGGGACTGATTTTTGTCCAAGACAGAGGAAGTTCAACGTTATAGATGTCCTTTTGCAATCACTTTTTAAATCTGTGGGTTTTAGAATTGTGTTTACTTTGTTAATACTTGTACTGTTCCTCTAATGTCTGTGTGTCTGGAGCCTCAGAGGCCGACTAATGACTTAAAAAGATACTTGCTTTGATGCCCAAGGCAGCTGCCTTCGTCTAACGGGACAGCTACAACAATGCCAAGTGACTCCTGGAACATTCTCAATACTCTCGGTCACTCTACCATGAGATGGGCATTCACAACTTCCTTGCCAGGACTTGGAGTTTCATGTAAAACAGGGTGTCTTAGACTAATTACATCTTATTTTCCTGTTCATCCTTATAGTGAGTTGAATGGTGGCCCCAGAAAGATAAACAAATTTTCCAGAATCTGCAGATGTGACCTTATTTGGAATAAATGTATGTGTAATTAAGGTAAAGATCTCAAGATGAGATCATCTTGGATTATCCAGGTGGGCCCTAAATCCAGTGATAAGTATCCTTGTAAGAGACAGAAGTAAAGAGGGTTGTGTAAAGACAGAGGTAGAGGCTGGAGTTAAGTAGCACTAGCCAAGAAATGTCTGGAGACACCAGAAGCTGGAAGACAAAAGGAAGAATTCTCCCCTAGAACTTTTGGAGAGTGTTTGGCCAAGACACCTTGATTTTGGCATTCATGCCTCCAGAACTGTGAAGAAGTAAGGTTCTGTTGTTTTAATCCATCTAGTTTGTGGCAATTTATTATAGAAGCCTTAGGAAACTAATATAGTCCTCAATGGTAAGCAAAAGTTTCATATGAAGAAAACAGTTATGAGTTTTATAATATCTGCAGAATATAGAGTACAGAGTCACATCCAGACACAGATGGTCTATGACTTACGACATATTCAAGTTGTGATAAACTTATGAACATCCATATTTTTTGTATCTCTTATTGTTGCTAATATGTATTATATACATGTTGTTGTTGTTGTGTGCCGTCGAGTCAGCCCCGACTCATAGTGACCCCTCCTTGGGTTTCCGAGGCAGTATCACTACGGAAGTAGGATTGCCCAACCTTCCTTCCGAGGAGTGGCTGGTGGGTTTGAACCGCCAGCCTTCTGGTTAGCAGTCAAGTGCTTTAGCCACTATGCTACCAGAGCTCCTATTATATACATATATACGTTAAAATACATCTGTAAGTTTATATGTCATGTTTCCAAACCCTAAAGGCAAATAAAGATTAGGTTATAAAGATACTGATAATAAAAGCAATAATAATGAAAACTTAAAAAAAAAAAAAAACTGATTTATGACAGATCCATCAGAACAGAACCCTGTTGTACGTCAGGGATTACCTGTATTTAATAGATGTTTATTTAATTGAATTACAGTGTTCCTACAAAAACTGGATGGAATTTGCAAATATTTCTCCAAAATCAATGGGCATCAAGTGTTTTCTCCTTGGTTAAAAGACCAGATGGTCATTTTACATTTAATGGAATTCATTCCATTCACTGGTTTCTACTGTTACTATCAACCAAGAGCTCCAAGAAGGAGTTCTGGTGGCATACCAGTTAAAACATTTGGCTGCTATCCAAAAGTCTGGTGATCTGAACCCACCAGCTACTCTGCACGAGAAAGATGAAGCAGCTTGCTTCTGTAAGATTTACAGCCTTGGAAACCCTATGGGACAGTAGTACTCCGTCCAGAAGGGTCACTGTGAATCAGAATTGACTCGATGGCAGTGGGTTGTTTTTTGGTTATCAACCAAGGTGCTGACATCTGATCTAAACCAAGATGACAATTCTATCATTGTCTAATCTCCAACAGACAGAAATGGACAAAACATGTTCTGGAGTGCCTCCTGAGTCTTCTAATGAAATCTTAGTTTTTTCACACCACAAAGACTGCAAGGCTAAATTATTAATGGACTCCCTTCCAGCTAATATCACTAAGGTGGATGATTTATTATAAAGAAAGGCAGAATAAACATTACACTGTACTGTAAAACCCCCTCTGAGATGGTGCCTTTTCATCCAACAAAAATCAAGTACCAATCAACAGTGACCATGTTAGTAATGAAATCACTCTTTTTAATTGACCTAAACACTACCGCTGAGAATATTTTCTGTCCAAACAGCCCTTCCTAGTAGTGAGGTTATGGGAGTCTAGGGAGGACTGTACTGCCCAATTCCTTGTTCACGTTTATTGATGCTTGCCATTTACAAAACACCAGAAAGCAACAGATTCTGCTTTTCTTTCTATTTTAACGATGCAGCTAAAAAAAAAAAAAAAAAAAGCAGAAGCAAAAATGTTTAGTACTTGGCTTATTAGCCAGAAAGAAACATGGTTATTTCCACATAATTGAGAAGGAATATGGTGATGACTTGTGACTCATGAAGTATTCAAGAAAAATAAAAAAAGGTAAAATCTGATGAAAGAAGTAGACTGAGATTATGGCTCAAACCAAGTTTTTAATTTTGTTATTTATGAAACTAAAACCAAAGGACATGAAGATAGCACAGACTCTAATCAATCAAAGCCATCCCTCTGTCCATAAGTACTTCACAACCTAATGAGGAAATCACTGTGGGCAGAAAGGTCATTGCAAGAAAATTCTACAGAGAGTGGGTGGTTTTCCTCCCCTTCTGTTTTTGAAAAGGTCCTATATAGTTACAATTTAATTTTCTTCCTATTTCTAAAGGCTGTCCAATCTGACATAGCTCTGGAGATTAAAGTTAACATTAAACTCTAGACTAACCTGAAAAAGACCCAGTTGAAACGATTTATAAAACAACAAAATAAAAAACAAGCCAGTTACCATCAAATTGATTCCGACTCACAGTGACACCACATATATCAGGGTAGAACTATGCTCCATAAGGTTTTTGATGGCTGATTTTTAAGAAGTGGATCACCAAGTCTTTCTTTAGAGGTACCTCAGGGTGGGTTTGAAACACCAATCTTTCAGTTAGTAGCTGAATGCTTAACTACTTACACCAACCAGGCATTCCATTATTGGTTACTTACTGGTTAAGTCAGAAGAACACATCAAACCATTTTTATCCAGTGACAATAGGAAAGAATCACATGGAGGGATTTCCAAGTTGTAACAAATGAGAAAATCACTCAACACACTCTATCAGTTGGTACAATGTTTACCTATCTTCATAACTTTTGCTAAATTCATGCATCTTTTATGCTATCGTATAACATACAAACTTTATTTAAATTTATTCATCTTTTAATTTTTTTTTGAAGATAACTTTCATCAAGACCATAAATGAAAGCCTATATCCACTGAAATAAATGGCAGGTAACAAAAAAACATATAACCGCTCAAAAAAAGTATTATTAAATTCAAGTCAGATATGTAGTTCTCCTGAAAGCCGAGACTTACAGCCACCTTATTAAAAAGGCATGCAAGTGTTAAAATAAGTATTGAAGATATATAAGCATTAAATTAAGCCTTTGTTTTTCAGAAAGACTGAAATAAAATTTAAAATTAATGAATCTCATTATACAATTCAACGTTAGTTTTAGTACCACGTTTGTGTACCATGTAAAATCGTTTCAAATACTACTTGTCCCAAACCCACATCATGGAAACATGGAGCTAGTACATCAAGTAATACAAGCAGTCATCTTAGTGATATTAAGCATGAGGCCTGTCTTTAAAAGTACAAGACCCAGCCTTCAGACAAGGTATTCCTGGCTTTCCCTTCCAAGAATGACAAGAATACTGATGAAGGCAAAAGGTACAAGAAATGAATCATCATTTCAAACCTGAAGAACCCAAGAAATGGCACTGGCTATATTTTGTCAAAATTGTTATTTGATTAAACAGATGAGATTGGTGTAGGCATATTGGGAGAGGAATGTCAAGTTTTAGGGAAGGCAAAAAGGAGGTTGGACACTTGTTTTCTATTCTTGAGAAATCAATAAAGATAATGAATAGCCCTTGAAGATAAAAAATCACTGTGAAGAATGTGAATTTTAATTAGAAATGAGAAACATACTCCAGACAGTTCAAAAGATAGTATTTGAAAAGATTTTTTTATCTGCAAGCATGTAAACCTTGAGATAGTAGGAGCTCTAAAACTATGAAGAACAATATAGAGTACTTACTGGTAATGAACCCAGGATGGTCCAAGAGTTTTCTTGAATTGAGCAAGTCCCACAATATCAATATAAATGAGCTCAACGATTCTGTCCCCTACAGTTGGGCAGCCAGATCGGTTTCCTACAACCTTCTTCATTATTCTAGAGAAAGGGAAGAGGAGAGGGGAAAAAAAGAAGCATTTACTTTGAGGTACTACACGTGGCAACTTTAATAGGCAATAAGCATTTAAAGAAACTTCATCATAGAATCTGCAAAACACTGCATAATATGGATGAACTTGGAGGACATTATGCTGAGTGAAATAAGTTAATCACAGGAAGACAAATATTGTATTAGTCCACTATTGTAAAAGTTAAGGAAAGGTTTCTACATGGAAGGGAACTTTATTTGTTGGTTTCCAGGGATTGGGGGGGGTGGATAATTCCTAGATAGGTTAAAAAACATATACATATACACACACCAAAGATTATTAGTGGTTACCAGGGGCAGGTCTGGTAGCATAGTGTCTAAGGCACTTGACTGCTAACCAGAAGGCTGGTGGTTCAAACCCATCAGCCACTCCTCGGAATGAAGATGGGGCAATCTACTTCCATAGTGATACTGCCTCAGAAACCCAAGGAGGGGTCTCTATGAATTGGGTCCGACTCCATGGCACATAACAACAACAACAACAGGGGCAGGAGGGACAGGGGAAAGGGGAAGCTTTTGTTTGTGAGGCATTTAGTTCATGCTAAAGGTGGTGGAATATTTTGGAAAAGGATAGCAATAATGGTGGCACAACATGAAAAATATCATTAATGTCCCTGAGCTATAAATGTGGAAGTTGTTATGTTGGCAAATGTTTTGTTGCATGTTTTCACCACAATAAAAGTAAAAAAACATAAAAAGCAAACTTAAAAAAAAAAAAAAAAAAGAAACCTCCTCATCAAAGAAAGACAACAACATGACCCTTCAAAATATGCTGCCTAACCAAATTCTTCCCAGCCATCAAAATCCACCCACAGCCCTGATTCTGACTCTTAAAAAACCACTGCTTACATGAACAAGCACAGCCTTTGAAATCAAGGAAGCTCTGCCTGAATTTGCCTTTATCCACTAGCAGCTAGGAGACCTTGACAATGCTTAACCTCTCTGATTTTTCTTTCTTGATCCTCCCCCTTTCTCCTCTACCCTCCCTCCCCCATCAAAAAAAAGGTTTGGATATGGATCGGATATGATGCCAACCTTTCAGGGGTTATCGGGGATTAAATGAGTTATTGACTAGAAAGACTCTAATGTATATTAGACTCTCAGTGACTACTAGTTTTCCCCACAAAAACAATTATTCCTGAACTTACTGATGACCTATCCTTTCTTTCTCTAAATGCTTTCAATGTATAGCCTTTACTGTAATAACTTCTTCCTATACTGCCTTTAGCTGTTCCCTAATTATTTCTCTTCAATTTTTTTCTTAACTAGACTATAGTACAGAACTGGCCCTATGGCTTATATGTTTTCATTACCTTTGCCTCTTTCTTTCCCACCCATCCATCTACTCATCCACCTCATCCACCCACCTACCCATCCATCCATCCAAAACCATTCTTGAACTCACAAAGTGCCAATCTACTTGATTGGAGTTATTTACTCCACAGGTGGTAGTAAATAATGCTATTAATCTAGAAAATCACTCATCATTGATGCCTCTTATTTCTGTTGACACCCTACAACAATCCTTCACCAAATTCTGGATATTCCACTTCAAAGGGCAATAGTGACATTCAGGACTGTGCTCTATAGTATTGTGGTGTCACTGCTTTGGGCACCCTTTTCATCTCTGGGTTTCTGAAAAAGCTGGAATCCCTGGTCACCAATTTCTTCCTACACGACTATCCTAAGAGTCAAAAAATTTTTTCTATAAAGGGTCATACAGTAAATACTTTCACCTTTTCAAGCTAAACTACTTGCAACTACTCAACCCTGCTGCTGCAGCCACCTACCACCATTACCAGTTGCTGTTGAGTAGATTCTGACTCTTGGTGACCCACTGTGTGTCAGAGTAGAAGGGTGCTCTACAGGGTTTTTAATGGTTGGTTGATTTTTCAGAAACAGATGGCCGTGTCAACTCAAACCACTAACTTTTAGGTTAGCAGTTGAGCACACTGATCCTTTCTACCACCCAGGACTCCAAAGTAGCCATGTTATTGTTGTTAGGTGCTGCTGAGTCAGTTCCAACTTATAGCAACCCTATGTACAACAGAAGGAAACATTGCCCAGTCCTGTACCATGCTTACAACCATTTCTATGTTTGAGCCATGTTTCCATTATTACAGCCACTGTGTCAATCCATCTCATTGAAGGTCTTCCTCTTTGTCACTGACCCTGTCCTTTATAAAGTGTAAATATCCTTCTCCAGGGATTGGTTCCTTCTGATAACATGTCCAAGGTATTTGAGATGAAGTCTCACCATCCTCACTTCTAAGGATCATTTTGACCACAGACATTATATAAGCAAATTGGTATGGCTGTGTTGCATTAAAATTTTATTAACAAACACAGGAAGACGGCTGGATATGGCCTTCTTGTTTGCTGGCCCAACTATTAAATGGTTCCCAAACTTGTCAGCCAGTGTAATCACCTAGGGACTTATAAAAATTCTTATGCTTGTGGCCCATCCCCCAAAACTGATTCAATTAGTCTGAGCCTTGGCATTTGAAAAAGATCCCAGGTGATTCTAATATTCTGGCAGGTTTGGGAACCGCTGATACACGGTAATTGCTTCCACAATTATCTTCTTATATAAAATATATCTGACCTTCTCACCAGCATGTTTAAAAATTTTACAAATTTCCCCTTGATCACAGAATTAAATCTCTGCTTGACAAATCATTTCATAACTCTCTTGCTCACTTCAGGGAGAACCTTTGTACTTTCTGGTGCTTCCCCTCCACTGCCCTGTACTCCAGTTTTTCAATACTCAGTCACTGCTTCATTTCTTTATGCCCTCATTTACTCATTCAATAAACAGGTATAAGCACCCAGTGTGTACAAGGCACTATTCCAGGTGCTAAATAGGTTGAACTGTATCCACACTGTTCCTGCACTCCCACTTATGCATTAACACCTCGATTTGTATTAATCAGGCTTGGCTGCAATTATCAGCCCAGTCAACAGCTCCTTCGCCATATACTGGTCATCTCTGAAAATGCCATTACAAGAGCCAGCCCAAAGAAAACACTGAAAGGATCATTTAAAAATTTTATTAACAAACACAGGAAGATGGCTGGATATGGCCTTCTTGTTTGCTGGCCATAAAACAAGAATTGAAAGAGTAATTGCTAAATGTATGAATGAATACATTTTGAAATACCTATATCCTATGTGTTTTAAGCTCTGGTGGCACAGTGCCTAAGGCATCTGATTGTTAACCAGAAGGCCAGTGGTTCATACCCACCACCAGCTGCTCCTCGGAAGGATGGTTGGACAATCTACTTCTGAAGAGATACCGAATTGGAAACCCAAGAAGGGGTCGCTATGAGTCGGAAATGACTCAACACAGTGAGTTTGGTTTTTTTTGGATGTATTTTAAGCAAGCTGAGGAAGGCAAGTAAAAGCAGCATGATAAAATGTCAACAGTGGTGACTAAGGGTCCAGACAAACCCAAGTTTATCTAAACCTGAAAGTGGCAATGTAGTTAAGAGCACAGGTTTTGAAGTCAGATACGCACAGGATTGAAATCCTGGCTCTCCCACATTACCCATGTGATATCGAGCAATTCATTTTTGGTGTCCAAGCCTCAGCTTCTCATGTTTAAGATGCAGATAGTAACAACTACTTCTGGGTTTGTGCTAAGGACTGTAGAGATAAACTATACATACTGACACACATTAAGTGCTCAACTAGTGTTAGCTGTGAATAGGCATCATCACTATTATGGCTGTGATAATTGTTGATATGGCAGTTTTTTAAATAAAGCCCTTATCACAGCACCTATTGTATAGAAATCTTTTAACAAATAATGTTGTTACATGCCATGGAGTCGGCCCCGACTCATAGTGACCCCTCCTTGGGTTTCTGAGGCAGTATCACTACGGAAGTAGGATTGCCCAACATTCCTTCCGAGGAGTGGCTGGTGGGTTTAAACCGCCAGCCTTCTGGTTAGCAGTCAAGTGCCTTAGGCACTATGCTATCAGAGCTCAAATAATAGCTGATATTATCATTATTGATATTATTGGTTTCATCTCAACACTGCCACTAACTTGGTGTGCACCTTGGTCCTAACATGAGTGACCTCTTAGGGCATCAATATCTGGAACAATAAGGTAGCAGCAGAGTCTGCTCTAAACACACTTGTTTTAACAACCCTTCTAAGTCTAGAAAGTTAATTCAAGGTGTTTCTCCTGAAAACATTTGACATATTGTACCATGATAACTTGGCCACTGGATAGAAAATCCCTATGGGAATTGACCTAAATGGGACAAAGGACACCGTGGGTCCCTGCTTAGCTGTCTCAATCTAAAACAGATTAAGAGAGGGCTATAGCTAGAAGCAAATTTCAGTGAAGTAGAAAACTCAGGTAGAGTTAACAGACTCAGAGTTGAAAGTTGGCTAATTGAAAATGGATTGGATCTGGGCTTTCAGGAAATTCATTCCATCCAAATTAAATTATAAACAGGAACCTGCCCTGTTTTAAGATTTAGAAAACTCAATGCTAAGTCGGGAATGGTATGAATTTCATCAAGAGACAGGGAATTAGGAAAGTCAATAATGTTTTGTGCTGCAGATGTTGGAAGCACCTGTAATAGCAAAGAAAATCTCCTTAGTTTGAATTTTCTGGTATTCATTTATGAAGTCTCTGGAGCCTGCAGCTACAATGAAAACATATTATCCTTTTCACAGTGTATGTATTTAGCTCCTGAAAATAATCTTCTTATCTCCTGTTTAGTGAATTATCACTTCCATTTTCCTCCACAAGAAATTGCACACTAATAGAGGGCTTTAAGAGTTTACAATTTCTTTTTTGTATTCTGATTTTAAAATTGAAAAAGTAATCTCCTTACTCCTTGAGCTCCGCCAGTGAAGCTGAAATCCTAATGTCATGGCCCAGTAAGTACAGAGATGTAATTAAATCACTCCACTGAACTAATTCACCAAGAGGGCCACCGCTGAACGCTGTCTCTGCAATCTTAAATCCAGATTCTTTGGTCAGGAGTCCCAGGTGAACGAGGACCTGGAAAACAACAAAAGATGCACATAATGACTCCCACTGAGCCAAGGACAAGCTGCACAGTAACACACCAAATAACCATCAACCAATTCTAAACTCATGTTGATGTTTTACAGAAAGCTAAAAGTGGGGTATGCCATTTTTCTAGAAATGAGAACGTTATTACTGCCCTTGCTAAGGCTATGAGCATGAGATGTGATAAGTAAGATAAACCAGCTTTTCAACAGTAGGATGTATCTGGAGAATCAGAATTAAAGGAAGAAAGCCCGGGGAATACAGTCTTCTCTGGTAATAATAATGGGCATTTAATATCTTTAACCTTTAATATGAGAAACGCCAAACACATACAAAAGCAGACACAATAATACTGTCAATCCTGGTATACTCATCACACAGCTTTGTTTATCAGCTCTTGACAAATCTTATTCAATTTATGAAAAACCCTGCCATCAAGTGGACTTAATTTACAAAAAACCTTGACACCAAGCTGATGGTGAGCCCATGTGTGTCAGAATAAAGCTGTGCTCCACAGGGTTCTCAATGGCTGATTTTTCAGGCCTTTCTTCCAAGGTACCTCTGGAGAGACTCAAACCTCCAAACTTTGGGTTAGCAGCAGTGTGTGTTAACCATTTGAGCCACCCAGGGACTTAATTTAATCTCCCATTTTCTTCCAACCTCTCTAGAATGTTTTGAAGCAGTTTCTAGATGATAATCTCTTCATCTGCAAATATTTCAGTAGGTATCACTAAAAGAAACAAATCTTTACTTAAAAAAACGGACCACAACATCATTATACAATTGTAAGTTCTTTAATATCATCCAATATCCAGTCAGTATCCACGTTTCAACTGCCCCTTATTTAAGTGCAGTTGATTGATTCAGAAGTCTAATAAATCATAATTGCCTGATATGTTTCTTAATCTCCTTCAACCAATAGTCATTCTCTATGAGGAGGAGGTTCTTATAATTTATTTGTCCAAGACACTGGGGTTGTATTTCTAGTGGAGTCTTCCATACTCTGGATTTTGCTGAATGAAATCAAATGGTATTGCACAATACCATTCTAGTGTACAAATACAAGGCACAGAAGAATCTATTGTACAATACCATTCCATTGTACAATAGATTCTTCTGTGCCTTGTATTTACAGGATTAGTAATTAGATATACAAATTGATTAGATCTGGATTTGATATTCTGGCAATACTACTTCATTACTTGTACTTCTGTTGAGAGACACAAAGTTTGGGTGTCTCCATTTTGTGTTGTCAGCAGCCACTGATGATCACTGCTAGATCCATTCATCCATTATAACCAAAGCCAGTTGCTGTTGAGTCAATTCCAACTCATGGTGACCCCTTGTGTGTCAGAGTAGAACTACACTCCCATAGAGTTTTCAGGCAGATCACCAGGCCTTTCTTCACAGGTATCTCTAGGTAGATTTGAACATGCAACCTATCGGTTAGCAGTTGAGCACACTGTAACAATTTGCACCACCAAAGGACTCATCCATCCTTTAGGAGGTGCAAAATGTTGATATCCAATCATTCTCTCTTCATTTATTAGCTGGAATACTTCTATACAGAGAAACTACTCCTCAATAGCTATTTGATTATTCTGAGGTATAGTTTGCATTAAAAAAAAAAAAAAGCCTAGTAAATGCTTGATTCTTTCTCTTTACTTAGTTTTCAAAATAGATATTTATTCTGTGGCATACTCCAATGTTGTTGTTGTTGTTTGCCGTCGAGTCGGCCCCAACTCATAGCGACCCCTCCTTGGGTTTCCGAAGCAGTATCACTACAGAAGTAGGATTGCCCAACCTTCCTTCTGAGAAGTGGCTGGTGGGTTTGAACCACCAGCCTTCTGGTGAGCAGTCAAGTGCCTTAGGCATTAAGCTACCAGAGCTCCTCCAATAGGTACCAATTTCTTTTTGTTAACATTATAAAATCATTGATATAAGCATATTTGATATATTTTCAATACACTGCAGTATTATCCTTATTGACTATCAAATTGTCCCATCTTAGCCAGTGGGAAGCTCCCAGGTTGGCTCCTAACTTCTTCTGACACAACCCAAGTAGTCTTTTTGATAACTTCTTTGCTCTCTCATGTGGCAAGATGTTGCAAGCTCATCAGGAACAACTTCTGTCTCAGCATTCTGAAGCAGCCATTATCCCAAGATGCCCTGATATTCATTAGTGGAAATGGTATTTAGAGATCAAAATCTGGTGCTTGGGGTGTTCATTACTACTAGGTTTATCACAGTCTCTCAGCCTTTCTACTGCATACAACTAAGAAATTAATTTTTCCTCAAAGACAAAACAATCGTGAATTCCAATTCAGACTCAGGATTACAGTGTTTTTATGTAACATTATAATCTTACATCTGTTCCCTCCTTTTTCTCACACTGAAAATCCCACTTCTCAAGGACACTCACATAATTACTCAGTCACTTTATCTCAATACATATGGCAGATTCAGAACAAGAATTACAACATCACCATGATTAGTAAAAAGTGTTTGATTTTGTTTTTTGTCCTTTTTTTCCTGGTGATAGCCCATTAGAAATATTCAGACAGTGTTTTCTCACTAAGCATAGTCTTTCTCTGTGTTTTCATAAAATATAGATATTTAGACAGTTTATTTATTTTCCTTGTAATTTTTAGGAATTTTTTTTTTGTACTTTAATTTTGTTTCACACCTATACAAAATGGTTCCAAAGTCAAATCTACAAAGTAAGATAGATTCAGAGAAGTCTAAATTTATACCAAATGCCCCATTCTATTCCCTTTCTCCCTCTATAATACTGTCATTGAGTCAACTCTTACTCAGAGCGACCCCCACTGGGTTTCTGATGCTAGAAATCTTTACAAAAGTAGATTGTCCCATCTTCCTTTTGCAGAGCAGCTGGTGGGTTTGAGACGCTGACCTTTTGGTTAGCAGCCAAGTGCCTTATCCACTATGCCACCAGAGTTCCTTGCCGCCCTCTATATATGGCCATTTATTTTAAATTTTACTGTTTAGTCTTCCAAAATACTTTTTTTAAATGAGCAACACACACACATATATGTATGTACATATACATATACACAAAGACATACATACTTTTTCTCCCTTTAAAAATAATATGTACTTTTCTCTATCTATCTTTTCTCACTTAACAACATATCCTAGAGACTACTCCATAGTATTATATAGAGATATTCTTTATTTCTTTTTACAGCCCATCTGGACTATCTGACCAAATGTTCTTCTACAGAGAACATGTTTGGTCCTACTGTCTCATAAACTCCGAATATTAAACTCCAAATATCTAAGCAAAAATGACCTATCAAACTGTAACTTGGAGGTTTGTAAATCTAGGTTTGTTTGTTTTTTTTGAGACTGTCCAATTAGAACAATCAAACTGATTTTTAAGCTCCTTTTAAATGTGTGAATAGATCAATTCACTTTGCTCAGTTCTGAAATAAGAATACTTCATCTAAAGCCACAGCCATTTAATCTATAACTAACGGGGTATAAAACTTCCAAGACCAGAGGCATTCTAGAGGTTTTCCAAATAACTCCTCATGAATTTGAAACAAATTATTTCATGTATAATTGATAGCTTCTCTCTTTTAGAAACATAAACAGAAGTATCAGTCAGTGTTACAATAGAACTCACTGGTTGCCCAAATCAAAAGTGCAAAACTCACGGATGATGTAACTGAACTGGGAGAAATAAGAGGTCTCCGATACTGGGTTCAGGAAAAGAAATGGGGAAAAGCTTCCTGACTCCAGTGAGAGAGGCAGGCCGTCAGATGGTTCAAATGAAAATCTTCCAGGCACATGTGCTGCTTGGCTTCACCCAAGAAATATGTATGCTGGTCCCTGCTGAGTAAGAGGGCTATAATTCCAAAATGGAATAACCAAAAATGGCTGTACAAAAGAGAGAGTCGGTTCACCCTCAGGGAGTATCATCTGACAACATGACATTTCTCTTAGTCTTGTTTCCAAGCAAAATCAAATTCTAAAAGAAAACTGGCATCTAACTGAACTGAATTAATAAGAAACTCACTTTCTTCCTCTTTCTCTTTTCAAGATTCTGCTTTTCTGCAAGTGACTTGATTGCCTGGATCCATGCGTCTGCCATTCGCCGGATGCGTAGTCTCATCCACCGGAATTCTTCATGCTTTTTCATCATACTGTAAAGAATATTAAAATCCGTCCGAATTTCTGCCTAGAAACAGAAATTTAATAAAATGAAGATAAAAAGTCAGAAAGCATAATCATTTTTATGATATGACATTTGAAAACTTTAAAGAAGACAGTCAATTAAATATAGAGCTTCAAAAATGAGTCTTGTCTGCTGCACAGCTTTAGTTTAAGGTTCCTAGTTTGTAAATTAAAGTGAAGGCCCTTGATTGTTGATGTGCTGCATGAAACACCTTTTAAAAATTAGAAATTGAGAATGGCAGCAAAGTCATTGCAAAGCTCTGAGCCATGTTAAAATGCGTTTCTCACAATTACTATGCTTGAAGAATCCTGTAATTCTCTGTGCCCGGATTTATTGTGCCACGCGGACCTACTGCAGGGTAGTAGACTCCTGGGAATACTGAATTACATTCTAAACAGGCCACCCAACACTGTGGATGCCAAGAAAATAATTCCATTCCATAGAGTAAAGAGGAAAATAATCACCTTTAGTTTTGTCCCAGTGAACAAACAAACAAAAAAAAGCATTATTTTCTAAGGAATATAAAAGCCAGGAATACTAGTTCTCTAACATTGTTGTTGTTGTTGTTATGTGCCGTCGAGTCGGCCCCGACTCATGGCGACCCCTCCTTGGGTTTCCGAGGCAGTATCATTACAGAAGTAGGATTGCCCAACCTTCCTTC